AAACCATACATCCTATCACATGTACATTTTATACAATTTAATGATACGTACATGATAATACATGTCTTATTATACACATTCCCGGCATTGTTGTGTACATTTGGTAAAAATACATTGATTATAGAGTAAGTGCTTGTGTAGTTATTGAAAATTTTTGGAATCTAAGCCACCTGATAACTTACAGAGGACTGCGAACTTTTTACTTTAGAGAACGTATCAAAAAAGTTTTTTGAGTGTTACGTATATAACTTGACGATTACATAATTATCGTTTCATCTGCACGAGTCTACCCATATACCTTTGAATGGAATAAGGGTGGGGGGCTGTCTTCTCCCTTTTCTTTTTTTCTTCTAAGAAAATAAAACTTATGGTGATAACGAAGAGTATTCAAGATCAAAAGTCGATAAGAGATACAAAACAAGAGCAGAGCAAACACTGACCTCTAAAACATAAGAGATAGGATCAGGTGCAATAAACGAGTAAGCATCCCTTTCCGACCGTTACATCTGCCGTGTGCCCCTTGTCATGATCGGGAAATAACGAAAAAGTCCGCCGTCATTTCAGTATATAAATAATGGACTGAAGATGAATATGAAAAACCTCAGTCAGCATTTTACCCATTGAAAAATTGTATTTGCTGACAAGGTCATTGTCCATTTCTCGCTCCCCTTTCCAATCGCTTGTTTCATTTAATTAATTAATAACCTTAGTAATGGCATTACAAAAAATTCCTTAGTAAGCAAGCAATATTTAAAGAACATACATTCAATATCAAAGTCCAGTGTTCTCCATGAGCTGTTTTACTGTGTTGCTCCCGACACAGTAAAACTTCTCCGACACAGTAACTATTCAAATTTTATGCATGCAACACAGTAAAAATTTTGCCGACACACAGTAAGATAATACCAATGTGATAATGAGAAAAACGAAACACATAAATTCTCTCTAACTAAAACTTTAATCACACAATTCTACCGTCTTTCAATTCTAAAAGTTAGAGCACTTAATTACTAGGGCTTCACCTTGCATGATCAGTTATATCCTAGACCCTCGCTGGATTTTACGCGTGAAGGAACAAAGACAAATAATTTGTTTCCACACTTCCATGTAACGGTTAATTGGTAGTTGCAATGAAATACATTTTATCATTTTTTTTTAAATATTTAGATGTCTTTTCTATAGAGCCGCGGCTCTAAAGTTATTTTAGCATTGTATGTCAAACATAACATCGTATCGAATCTTTTAGTTGATGTGAATGGATTGCTTAAAATTTTCAACATGTTCAAGGAACTCTATTTTACTGTTCTGAAGTTTCTTTGCTTGTAATGTTGTAACTCGATCAAGAAAACTGATAAATAATCAGCAAATTTACTTTTAAAAGTACTTCGACTGTATCGGTCAGAATTTCCTCTGCTTTTCAGAATTTTTTCAGTGTTTTTACTTTTATCAATATGTACGACCACACCATTTGTGTAACGAATTAGCAATTTTTCAATAAGTCTGTGCATGTATTCTTTTGTAATTATAATGAAGAGTGAGTCAGGTGCGAATTTGATCGCGAAAATTACGCAAAATTTTAGTGTTTCGTGTAATCTCTGCAACACAGTAAAATTTCAAATGATGGAGAACCCTGAAAGTCCATAAAACAATACAAAATAGGAGCAGAGCAAACAAAAACCTCCAAAACATCAGAGGTGGGATCAGGTGCCATGGAGGAGTCCCCAGCCGACCAGTAACACCCGCCGTGTACATATTGTCATGATGGTGAAAAAACAGAAAAATTCGATGATTTTTTACACTTAAGGTTCCCAGTCTCCATTCATAAAAATGTTTCTATTACACTTAGCACCTAGTTTGCTATCAATTGTGGAAATAGTTTAAGCTAGATTTTCAATGTTTTCAAATTCTTGACCACGTAACTCAAGTATTTTCGCAACAGTGAACTCTTTTGACAAAATTTTAATCTATAAACTTTTTCTTTGCTGACCATCCATTGTTAAATTCAAACATTCTACCACGCTAAATTTGAATTTTCCATTTCATACAAATACATGATGGCTTATTTTTCATACATTTCCTGGTTATACAGAATCTTTTAAAAGTAGTTTGCTAAAGAAGTTTTCTGAATGGAAAGCAAAATTTTATTGCCACCCGCTACTCCGTGACGTCTTCCAACGTCATGGTTTTTTTGATTTTTTAAATCAAGTCCTTATCTTTTAAACAGAGCGATATATTACATTACCTGAAAGCATCATAAATAATACAGGAAAACTTCATTAATTTCAAAATGTGAATTTTATTACGTTTCAGCTCCATGTTTTAGAGATATGGCTATAAATACTTTAAAGTAAAAATTTGTAAAGTACTGAATTTTGATGTTTCTCCCTGAAACCATTTTGCTGTCTGAAAAGCATCCTCAAGTTCCTGTTCAATTCATTACCCCCGGGGTATCCACAATGGGGGATCAAAGTTCTACATAGAAATACTTAGGAAAATTCCTTAAAACTCTTCTTAAGAAAATATTAGCCATGATTGGCTCAAGTAGTTTAGATTCTATTTTAGAAGTTTATTCAATTCATGACCCCTGGGGATAGAGTGGGGCCACAATGGGTGATCAAAGTTTTGTATAGGAATATATAGGAAAACAAGATGTGTTTGTGAAACACTATGCGCCCGGCGGCAACAAAGTTAAAAAGACAAACATGATTTTAACATATATGTCACAGTCAAGGTCCCAAGGTCATTGATCTTGGTGTCTTGTGAAAGGGCTTAATTGGTAAAGAATGCATGTCAAATATTAAGGTCTCTATCTTTCTTCGTTCAAAAGTTATGGTGAGTGATAAAGTCTGCTGACAAAAAAGCTATATTTAGTGCAGAGGTCACAGTAAAGGTCACAAGGTCATTTACCATGGTGTCATTTAAAAGAGCTTCATTAATGGTGTATGCATACCAAATATGAAGTCTCTATCTTGTATAGTTCAAAAGTTATGCCGAAGGTTAAAGTTTGCAGAAAAAACTATTTTTAGAATATAGGTCACAGTCAAGGTTACAAGGTCATTCCTTTTGGTGTCATTTGAAGGAGATTAATTAGTGGAGTATGCATACCAAATTTGAAATCTCAACCATTCATGGTTAGAAAATTATGGCTTAGGTTAAACTTTGCAGACAAACAGACTAACAGATAAACAGACAGACAGACAGACAAGACAAAAACAATATGCGCCTCGTATCTTTAGATGTGGGCGCATCAAAACTGTAAAATTCTTCTTCTCAGGATCAGAAAGGCACGATTGATAATATTATTTTGGAAGCATACCCAAGTAGTTTAGATTCATTTTTGATCAAATAATTACCCCCTTAGGTAAGGTGAGGCCACAATAGAGGATCAAAATTATTAACAGGAATACAGAGACTTTTTTAAAAACAAGTATTGTGAAGAAGAGCAAATCCATGATTGGTCATTGTTTTGTAGAAGCATTCTCTGAAAATTTAGATTCAAGTTTATTCAAGTTATGACCCCCTCCCCCCGGCGGTGAAGGATGGGACCACAATGGGGGATCAAAGTTCTTCAGAGTAATATTTAAAAGCTTTTTTTTATAAAAAAAAAATTTCCTCAAGAATTGCTAATATTTATATTGAAGCATCTCCAGGAAGTGTAGATTTAAGTTTGTTTAAATGATACCCCCAAATGGTAGGGTTGGCCACAATGGGGGATCAAAGTTTTACATAGGAATATTTTGTAAAAAAGACTTTTCCTCAATAACAGAAATTTAAAGCAATAATCATAAAATTACTCATATTGATATGTAAACTCAGGTAGTGAAGAAGCAATTTCATTCAAATGAGGGCCCAAGAGGGTGGGGCTGGGCCACAATCATAGGCTGGACTGGAATCAATACAATCGAAAAAAATAGGAAAACAATCTTCTCTTCATGAATAACAAATTCATTTGTTGTATTGATATGGAAAGTTAACATCAATAGATAGTTTCATATCAAAGTCTCCCCCTTCGAAGTTTCCCCATGAAAACTTTTTAATATACTTAATTGAGTTTTGCTTTTTTCTCGCCAATATGCTCAGGTGAGCTATGTGGCCCATTGGCCTCTTGTTTTTTATTAAAAATCTTGTAATTGCCTTTGTCCAATAACCAATTTGAATGCATTTTGGCAAGTTTATTTTGTATATTTTCTTGCAGTTTGAGCATGTTGGCTACAGATACTTGCCTATAGTGTTTAATGGGAGTTGGCGTTTGGCTTCTTAGACAAACTGCTCCTTATTCATAATGACAATTTTGACGCTTTGATCTATTTTTCAATTGCAATGTCATTGTAATTTTAAAGAAATTAAATAGCGTCTTTTTAAGAATTTGAGATATTCTATTTCTTTTTTACAATTTCTAGATTTTGTTTTATCCATATATTCCTCAAGTTTGCTGTATGTAATTGGCGGGTTGAACCCAGATTTGTTTTAAAGGGGTTAATTGCCATGTGTTGGAATGAATTTTAAACCCCAGTCTTTGCGCAGAAAGAAGATTTCATTTTTGGATAAGTTGTATCTTGCTAGATTTAGCGTGTGGAAATTAAAGGCATCAATCAATCAGACTTGTAAGGGATTAATCAAGACCTGACACTCCAAAATAAACCACACATATAGTAGATAGTAGATATAAAAGTAAGTTTTGCAGATCTCTGGATTTAAACCGTACATTAAAGGACACAAATACTGAAATATTGTGTTAGTGTTCCATTAATAAAGTGAGTTGGAGTCTCTGGGTCTTATAAATCTCTGACAAGTCTGGTTGATTGACATCGCTAATTTTCACATGCAAAGGGATCAGAGGAATAAAATTCAATTTGCAGTAGTAATTATACGGAAAACTATCTCCATTTATAAATTTTCAGGATCAATTGTTTTACAAGAGAGAGAGAGAGAGAGAGAGAGGTTGTACAATTAAAGAAAAATATCAATAATATCAAAATAAAAAAAAACGAACTATAGGGATATTTATAATTGCTGTTTATTAGTAATTAATATTTCACAAAGATAATTATTCAATTCTTTCCTTGCAATATATCCTTTGATGGTTCATGTGTGTCCACAGTAACAGGTACCTAGAATGAAAATTGAAGATTTTTTTTACGTTCAAAAATATTTACATTTGCTAATGTCTTTACTTAGATGACAATACTAAAAAAAATGCAATTCAATTTTCAATGACATGCAGTCGATCACATGATCAGCCTTTCTTGCGTATGGAAAGCAAACTGCATGAGACATTTAGAAATCTTAACTGTGACGTCATATGACGTTGTATATATACTTTATGTTGAATTCAATACCAAAGTCTAAATAGAGCATTTTGTCTTTGAAATGTGAATAGAAATAAAAATATAAATATATGAAATAAGATATCATTTTTAGAGTGTCAATTGCATGTGACAATTAGTTGGTACGTGATCAAATCTTCTATAACGCTCTTCCGGCGTTATAGAATTTGATCACGTGACCGACTTCATATTATATCCCAAAGACACAAATTGTATCTGTAAGTAAAATCATTCAAATGTTGCATTTCTTGCTTAAGCAATTTTTGGTCAATAATTAAACAAAGAGTGGATTTAATATCAAGTTCTAGAAAATTAAAGTTGCCTACAGATTCCTCAAATTTTAGAAACGTATTCCTAAATTGATCATTTGTGGTAATAAATTTATAAGTCATTGTGTATCAAGGTGTTATTTTCAGGGATCAGACGGAAAAGCATATTAAAAACTGCGATTCTGATTAAAAATAAAGAGAAACAAATTCAAGTCTGGAAATTTAACTGTTACCAACACAGAAAGTGTTTCCGAATTACCTTTAATCTCTTAGTAAACGGCTATTTATATGTTCTTTTATACTTTCTTAAATATGTTCAATTAAATAGCTTATGCGATTACTTTTGACATGGTATCCGGTTGATTTTGCATTGAAAACACGTCATTATTTCAATTTTTGATAAGGTACATAAAAAGTACACAGTAGTTTAAAGTATTTTGACTGAGAATTTGTTATGACGTAAAAAAGATTTTATGATGAAGTAATATATTCAGAACTCTCTCTCCCTCTCTCTCTCTCTCTCTCTCTCTCGCTCTCTCTCTCTCTCTTAGTGTGATAATAGTGTGATGATAGGTAAATTTATCATATACGTGCAGAAAATAATCAGTCAATATTTGAAAAAAATTACCATGATTATATTTTCAACTCCTTATGCACTCGTAATCACAGGTCTGGTACACCATCTAGTACACCAGAGACAATGGCAAGCACAACAATATTCATTGTGACTCTGTGCTTCAATAACTATGAGCACAAAAGTCAGCACAAACAAAATGACAAATTCCATCACCTTCATCTGAATAAATAATATTAATAATGATATGCTGAGAATTGAAATCAAAATATATAGAATCAATGAAAAGTTATATTGGCAATTAAATTGAAAATAACACTTAATAAGTTAATCAAAGTGTCTATTCCTTTACAAAAAAAAGTACACAGATATTAATTGGAGCAATTACATGAATAACAAGCATTACGTGTCAAGAGGTAGAATTTTATTTGTTGATATTTTTTTTTATTTATTAGATCTTTGTTAATGCATTTGAAAACCGCTTGCTCTATCACAACTACATTTTATACGATTTGATATCATTGCAATGGTATATTTATCCTTTCGCTTTTCTTGCGTAAATTTGAAAAAAAAGACTTTGACAGTAGAGTCAGTGCTTGTCTATTGGTCCTTGTGCTTATCATTAATACAATGAAAATTTCAAAGTTTGCTACAAGTCAGTGTACTATGTAATGATATGCAGTGATGAATATTGTTTTTGTCACAGACCTCCGATATTGCGGGAAAAACATTTTTATTCTAAAAATAGTTTTTGCTTGGCTGTTAATCTAATGTTTCAGGTCTTTAAGGTGCTAATTTACTTAAAAGACTGCTTAGAACAATATAACTGGATGTTTGTAAACTAGAAAAATACTGATCCATATTAATGTCCCTGCTGATAAATTTAGACAAGCCCTGAAATGTTTCCTTACTGCCCCCCCCCCCTCTCTCTCTCTCTCTCTCTCTCTCTCTCTCTCTCTCTCTCTCTGAATGGCGTATTTTTTTTGTTGTTCTAAAAATCAGTTGAAATACTTGTTTTAAAATTGCTTTTATCCATGAACACATAATATCAACAGATACGCAAAAGAAACACAATATACCAATAATATGCAGGTGTTAACCTTGTACTTAAAAAGTAAGGACATCTTCAGCATTCCCAATGCAAATCAGTAGTTTAATTACGGTGATCATTCTCATTCTATTACTGGAAATTGATTTTGAATCCTCTTTAAATTTTTGAAAATTCATGTTTAATATAACATTTGACAATAATTTGGGTTTTTAAGGCTTTATAGCTGTTAAATATAAGAAATACACTACTATTAAAAAGAAATCCTTCTTTCTTTACCAAATGTGATACCATTATTTCCTCAAAATGACAAAGAAAAGAATATTCATTGCTCTTGCAGGAAATTCTCAAAAGAAGGGTAAAGGAGAGCTACAGATGCAAATATAAATATATACTTTATGCATGTAAAAACTAACCCGGTGTCAGAAGTATAAATGAAGTTCCCGACAGAAAGCCCGAAGATTACTTAACTACTCTAAATTAGAAAAAAATCGACCTCAGTATCTGAAAAACAGGCACTTAAAAATGTCTAAGGATATTTTTTTCTCTCGGATCAAGAGATTGATAAAGCTAATGCATCATTGAAATCGAGCTGTAGTCGTTTTACATGGCGGCCGGACTAGCACGCTGTTATTGAATGATCGGAAGTTTTAAAATTTATGTGTTAATTTTTAAGGTTTGAGGATTACATTCTACCTTTAAATTAAATATCTAAAGTTTGTAATTTTACCTTTTTACCTTGTTATATTCAGCTGTGAATGTTATCTTTAAACTTATTAAGTGTATCCAGGATAAGGGTCAATCGCATTTTTTCGGGCCTTTCCCACTAGCGGAAAAACGACCTCGAATGTATTTGGTAGACGCCGTAAAAACCCTCCTTTTCACGATCTTTGAAATAAATGCATGGAAAACTTTTATACGAGTATTATCTGTGGAATATTGAGTTTAACGTTATTCAATGCAATGGTATTTCCATAATATATATATAATATATAAGGGACTTCTAACTCCGTCTATCCTATATTTGAATTAACATGAAATGTATAAAATTTTTTACATCAGTTGATAATAATACACTCGAGATATTTTTCCGACTCTGACGGAAAGACCCGAGATTAAGCGATCGGGGTAAGGGTAAGTATTTTGAAGGCCAGGGACGAATACATTTATTAAATATGTATGAATGTGGGTTTAAACAACCATATATATCACTATTTTTGGGGGGTGTTTGACAGTATACAGTTAAAG